ATATGTTAAAGGCAAATCATGTCTGACAAACTTAATTGAGTTCTTTCATGATATAACAGAGAAGATTGATGAAGGTAGTGGAGTCTATAGCATTTGATAACGTACCACGTAATAGAATAGTTAGCAAAATTGAAGCCCATGGGATAAAAGGGATGGTGTCTCCCAGCCAATTTCGTATCCAAAAACTAGTTTGTAGTGGTGAATGTTTGTTTTTCAGACCTGAGGGAAGTATTCAGTACAGGGGTCGATGTTAGGTCGCTTGCTCTTTTTGATATATGTGAATGACTTGGACTTGAGTACAGAGAGCAACATTTTAAAGTTTGCAGATGACACAAAACTTGGAAACATGGAAAACAGTGAGAAGGATAGTCGCAGATTGCAGGAGGACATAGACAAGGGGTGGGTAAAATACGGCCTGCGGGCTGTATCCGGCCCGCCAAATGATTCTATGATTGTGTAGAAACAATTATAGTTCGTTCAGTCCCAGAAAGTCGCACAAATTTCGCATTTGAATCAGACCGAGAACATCAGCCAATCACACTGCTTAGCTGTGCACACGCTCCCTTAAGTGTTGAATCAGGCTGACGTCAGAAATGTACGGATCGGAAAATGTTCAAACGCGCGCAGGGCAACCGCAGCAATACGTTTCACTGAAGAGGACGTTAATTCGAAATGAGTTTATCAGAGAAGCGGAAAGTGGACCCTGGAGGCCAAACATTTAGCAAAGGATGGACTTCTAATTTTTGTTTTACCAGTGTGGGTGGAAAATCTGTGGGCTTAATTTGCAAAGAAAGTGTAACAGTGCTCAAAGACTACAACTTGAATCGCCATTTTGAGAGCAAACATGCTTGCAAAAATAAGAACGTTTCTGCCGAGGAAAAAGGAAAGAAAGCTGATGAGAAGAATTGGCATCAATGTAGTCAATGAAAGCTACATCAACTGGAGAAGACTTTTAGGAAGCAGTAAATAAGTGTATCTGAAAATTATGAGTGGAGTGGAAAAATTTGGTGAATGTGACTTCCGATGGAAGCCCAAATCTGACTGGCAAAAATGTTGGGTTACTGAAAAGAATTCAAGATCAAGTCAAAGAAACAAATCCAGAACAGAATATTATTTTTCTTCACTGCATTATCCAAGAGATCTTCTGTAAGAGTGTTCTAAACCTAAGAAATGTCATGGACACAGTTACGAAAGTGGGCAAGCAAGAGGATTAAACCACAGGCAATTTGTAATTCTGCTTGAGAAATTGGAATCCAAGCCCACGGATGTTCTGTATCACACAAATGTAAGATGGCTTAGTTTAGGAAAGTTCTTGAAAAGAGTGTGGGAACTGAGAACAGAGATTGATTTATTTTTGGGCATGAAACAAAAAGATTCGGATTTCCCACAGCTGAATTATGCCAATTGGTTCTCAGATTTCACATTTGCCATTGATATCATGGGCCACATGAATTAACTGAATTCAAAACTGCAACGGAAGTGACCTTTGTGCACGATTTGTATTGCAGTGTCAATTCATTTATGACGAAATTATTTCTTTTATCGCGTTAGATAGCAGTTCGCCCACTTTCTAATTTTGCAACTGTTTGCGATCAAAGCTTATTATTATTATAATGTGATCCATTGCTTGCAGAGCAATTCAAATCAGTGCCACTTCCCAGTTTTTATGCCTTTCTTATTGAATATACCTTTCCAAAATAAAGGCTCATGCCCGGAGGATGCTTGTGCTGTTTGGATCAACATAGGAGATATTTTCTGTGATGAAATTCAATAAATCAAAACATAGATCTGTGATGATATCGGAAAATAATCAAACATACACAACTCTATAATTCAATAATATTCTTTATCGACCGGAGTGACGAGCACACAGGAGTTTACCCGTGGTAAGGTCTCTGCTATAACAGAGAGTTTGAGACCTTTTATAGATCAATACCAACGGGGTCCACAGGATGACACAACAAGTTATTTGCAATAATAAGTAAATCAATCAAGGTTGCAAGACAACGATTATGCTGTTGTCTAAAATCAATCAAGACCCATGGACAATGGTTTTCTTAACTTCTGATGTCATGCAGGAATCAGCAGATGTTCAGGGTGCTGTTTTCCTGGACTCTGGACCCCTCGATATAGGTATACAAATATAGGGCTCCTATCCTATATTCAGGCAAGACAATGGGGAGTAGGGATACCAGGGCATTGGTCACCTCCCATGTGTGCCGGACGTCTGGTTCTTGCTGAGTCCTTTCTCCCTTGAGGCCTTCTGTCCTAGACAAGATGTGGTTTTGAGCATATAAGGTCATTTGACGTTAGTTGAGAGTATAACGGAAATACATCTATGTTAGTGTATTCATTTTATAGAGATATAATTAATAGAGGGATGGTTACGGGGAAACTAAGTTTCTACAATGACTGATGACCACCTTGCAGCAGAACTCCACGTTGCAACAACGGAGACGATGCCTGACTTCAATTGTCTAGTTAACGCACATCAGCACTTTCATTCTTCCCATTGAGTGAGCTTCTCACATTCTCATCAATATGTGAATAAATATCGAATAAATGTCTGCTCAATGAGTTGTTTTTATTTAACCTAATTTTAATGAATGTCAATTACATAGACTTTATTTTATGCATTTACAAGTGTAAGACTTGATTTTGAGCTATTATTAAGCATTTGCATCTATATTAAGTGTGCGACCCGCGAAGCTTACCAAAACTCGTGAAGTGGCCCGCCAGCCAAAATAATTGCCTACCCCTGACATAGATAGACTGGTGAAATGGGCAGATGAAGTTTAATGCAGAGAAGTTTGAGGTGATGGGAGGAAGAATGAGGAGAGACAATATCCAATAAATTGTACAGTTTTAAAGGGGGTACAAGAGCAGAGAGACCTAGGGGTTCACATACATAGGTCTTTGAAGGCAGCAGTACACATTGCTGGAGCTGTTAAAAAAAACATATGAAATCCTTGGCTTTATAAATAGAGGCATAGAGTACAAAAGCAAAGAAGTCCTGCTATCCCTTTATAAGTCATTGGTTAGGCCTCGGCTGGAGAATTGTGTTCATTTCTGGGCACCACACTTCAGGAAGGATATTAAGGTCTTGGAGAGAATGCAGAGGAGATTTACCAGAATAGTACCAGGGATGATGGACTTAAGTTATGTGGAGAGATTGCAAAGCTGGGATTGTTCTCCTTAGAACAGAGAAGGTTAAAAGGAGACTTAAGAGAGGTGTTCAAAATTATGAGCGGTTTTGATAGAGTGGATAATAATAATCCTTGCATTTGATACAATGCCTTACTACATTTTCGAGATGTCTCAAAGTGCTTCACAGAATTTACTGTAAATTGAAATTGACTGAAAATTCTGTGGGTGAAACAGGAGAAAGATAGGGAGAAGCTATTTCCAATGGCAGGTGGGTCAGTAACTCGGGCACATATATTGAAGATAATTGGCAAAAGAGCAGATGAGAATTTTTATTCTTTTTACATAGAGAGTTGTTACGGTCCGGAATGGATTGTCTGAAAGGGTGGTGGAAACAGATTCAATAAAAAAAACTTTCAAAAGGTAATTAGATATGCACTTGAAAAGGAAAATTTTGCAAGGATATGGGGAAACAGCGGGGGTGTGGGACTGATTGGGTAGCTCTTCCAAAGAGCCGGTTCAGGCACGATGGGCCGAATGGCCTCCTTCTGTGCTGTAATATTCTATAATTCTATCCCATGAAGTAATTTATTCACCATCACAGTCTGCGTTGAACCCTATATCCTTCAATATTATTCTCAAGCAGATCTAATCCAGCTACTTTGTTTAAATTATATCAACATAATTGGAGGGGGAATCTTTTAATCTCTAATCCTGGTTTAATACGAATATCAATACTAATTTCCAGTTCTGCTCTCACAGTCTAATTCAAACAGCCTTGATGTAGCAAAAACTAGAGCATTAACACAGCTAAGGTACAAAATCAATGTTGTCACTCCAGCTGTTCTCTCACCAGTTAATGCAAAATTTTAACAAACACCCTTTACATAGGATTAATGTCTCAGAAAATTAATGAAATTTCAACTAAAAATGTTTAGAGATCCATGTTAGTCTCTTTAGATGAAATTTAGAAGCTATAATGCAAAACAATGCTCATTACATCCTCACCTTTTTAATCAGCAAGTATTGACCTCAAAGCACAATTGCATGTTAGAAATCTTTAGTGATACTGTATATTGTTCTGTATTAGTCTTATGAGGTTAATACATAAAACACTGCCAGTGAGGTATTCTATTCTGTTGGCTCTTAAATAATACACCTCGTTTTCCAACTTTCATTTTTGGTCCCATCAAAATCTTTTAATGCAGTTTAACATTATGTTCATTATGTTCAGACCTGAAGATCCATCTTTTGTTTTGACTGAATGAAACGTTGAGGCTACTGACCTTTTAATTGTTTTGCATTACAGCCTTGATATTTCACTTGCTTAGCCATCTACAAAAGAACTTGACCCGGAAAGAAAGGATTTTCTACAATATAAAAATTGTAATGGAATCTAAGGGTGAAACACATATAAAAAGTAAACTACCGAAACAGTGTACCTGCTTCAGAATCCTAAAATTTCTATTGGAAATCAAAATATCTCTCAAATCTCTTTAGCTACCAGAAAGTCTGAGATTTTAAGTGTGTTCTCTTTGTCACCCTTTATTCTACCCACCCCGTATGGGGTATACTCTTGTTTCAGCCATGTGTATATACAAAGCTTACTTCCAGTTCTATTTGATCACATTTTCTCTATTCTGCTATACTTGTTTACACTACTAAAGTTTTTCCACATAGTTTTCATCTATATTTCATACAATCACTTCTCCTGTTCTCTCACCAGTGGAATTTGAACTAAAATTAACTTCAATTTTACACTGCAAAACAGAAGTAGCAAGAGATTTTAATCGAAGTTAAGAAGACTTCATTGTGCATTGTCAAAGTGTATGTTCTGTACCAAAAAAAGTTCTTACCCGGATTGCTGCCTTATTGCAGAAAACCCTGGTGATTGCCAGCCAAGTGGGCAAGTCCAGCATGTTCTGTAGCACCTCTTCATCCAGCTCCAAGTTGGTCAGCTGACCTTCCCCTTTAAGAGTGCTCAAATTTATCTTATCAGGTGACAGATTCTTGGTAAATCTAAAAAAAAGCAGAATAATATTTTGATTTGTATGATTGTGTTCTTATAGTGTTGTATGTCTTGTTAACTGATAGTATAAAACAGGAACAGTTGGCAATATTGGAGTTGCATTTTGTGGTACTGAAAGATTAATGGCTTAAAACTTTTAAGTATCTGTCAGTGTAACAAATATTTTGTTTGTTATCTTCGAATTGCAATAGAGCAAAGTCCAATTCCTCTGTGTCTGTACAACTATTTGCAGTATTAAGCCTCAGCTGGAGTGCTGCGTTCAATTCTGGGCACCACACTTTAGGAAGGATGTCAAGGCTTTGGAGAGGATGCAAAGGAGATTTACCAGGATGATACCAGGAATGAGGGACTTGAGTTATGTGGAAAGACTAGAGAAGGTAGGTCTGTTCTCCTTGGAGCAGAGAAGGTTAAGGGGAGGTTTAATAGACGTATTCAAAATTATGAGGAGATTTGATAGAGTGAACCGAGAGAAAGCGGAGAGGGAGTGCGGGGAGATTCTTTACCATCGCCTCATCATGTCTTCAAGACGTCTCAAAGTGTTTTACAGAATATACTGTAAAGTGAATTGACTGCATAGAGGTATCAATAAGAATCAACAATTGGGACTGATGCCTTGTGTATTTCAATCAATTCCCTCAATGTTTTCACTTGAGCCGTACAGAACCTTGATTCCACACTTGGGGTCACCTACCACCATGTCCCACCGGTTGACCCAGTGGGGAAGATGGCGGATGCAGCGCAGGTGAGTTCTCTAGCAGCACAATATCATTCGCAAACAGAAGCACCATAATCCTGTCAGAGAGACCTGGAACAGATACACCAAGTCCTTCCCACTCGATGCCATCCAACACATCGTTGATGAGGACATCAAGTGGGATGGGTGACAATCGGCAGCCTTTCCTTACCTCCCTTAACAGGGTTGAGCTCAGTGTCAACCTTTACACTGATCTTGGAGCTGGAATACACATTTGGATAAACTCCAGGATTCAGCCATGTACTCCCATCGCTTCCAGTTTCATCACGAGATCCTCATGAGGCACGAGGTCGAAAGCCTTATGAAAGTCGATGAACGCACCATTAGCAAACTCATACAGAGCCGCAACCTGTCCCACACATTCTTCACAAGAACAGAAGCCAGCCTGCTCCTTCCTGATCAAAGTGCGAGTTTCCAATACATGTTACACATGCAGTGACTACCTGAGAGCACCACTTTAAGAGCCACTGAATTCAGCGAGATCCCTCTCAGTTATCAGTTTCACTAGGGTCACCCTTCTTGTGGCTGGACACAACAAGTGCACCCTGGAACAACTAATACAATGCTATCAAGAATGGACTATGCCCTATCACAGTTCAATTGCTCTACCCATGGGCCACTCCTGCCAGCATTTACCCCACTGATATCACAAGTAAACCAAATCACAAAATGAACTACTGTAGCAACTATGTCATAAAGGGATTAAGTTGTCTGGTTTAACTGGTATCCATGTCATAAATGAATTAAGAGTCCTAGGTATTAGTTTGGAACTTTCTGTTCTCGAATGCATTGCTGAATGGAGAAGTTATGTGTTCTCTTAAACAGGACTTTAAAGAAGATGTGGAAAACACTGCTATTGACAAAAACAATTAAAGCAGTCACAAAGACCACCTAGAAAAAAGTACAATAGCTTATCAATTTACTAATTTAGGTGTTTTTAAAAATGTAAGAAATGTATGGCAGCAGGTCAACATTTACAGTTAATAGCCAACAGAATGTCTCTTACATAGTACTGTAAAAACAGTACTCACAAGTCTACAAAACTGTGTGTTTGTGTGTGGGGGTGGGGGGGTTAATCCAATGTGACAGCTGACAGCTAATTATCCTTCCATTAGTTTATGGTCCCTCTTAGATTTGATGTTACATTTAACTCTATTTTGGGAGGACATCTCAAAGCACTTACGAACTGGATGGAAACCGTGTTGTTGCAGTCGTTTCAGCATTCAAGTCCAACTGTGCTGTTCTTTGTTCTTCAGTTTCATTTGATCAGCTGGCAATTTTATTTGCCCATGAAATTCTTGACATTTGCTTAGAAAATGTCCTGGTCAGGAGAACACTTGTTGGTAGGACTGTGGCTCCCATGACAACCCGAAAAAACCGCCATACATTTGTTTCAGAATAAATTAGTATACATGTATCTCTTTAGAAGTGTGTGTACTTTCCTGTGTCGCTACTTTGTTGCAGAATACTTTGCATACCTCATATTTTAGGGCTTCATTAAAGCATGTTTTTGTTAAATGTAGCTGAGATTGCTGGAAGATAATGCTCATGACTCTCCTGTCTCTACATCAATAGGTTATTGCATTATTGGCGGAAACACAGACACACACACACATTTTGTCGTTATTAGTATAGATTAGAAAGTAATCAATAGAGACTAGTTTCCAAAACACTAGCCTGGAAATTCAAATTGGTTCGCTCAATGGTTCAATGGCACCTTATATGCCTCTTCAGGTCAGGAAGATTTCAGGAAATTCAATCCCTGATCTTTGCCAATAACAATTTGAACTTTTAAAGTGATTTTTCATTGAGAAAACAAAAACATTTCAAAACAATTCACAGGAACAAAGTGGAGGCCTGAGCAGGATGGAAGATGGGTGGGGAGGGTTAGGAATGAAATACATGAAGATGCAGTCAAAGTTTTGTAAGACTGAGAAGATTGAGCAAATACCTTCCACATGGTAACATTTTGCTTCCACCTTGCTACCATACAATGCTGTCTTTACTCCACACAAATTAAGCAAACAAGCCAACTTCTGAGTAATCCAACAGAATGGACCAACAACTTTTTCCATTCAATCTAGCCTGTCTGAGTGCAACACAGATCTGGGTACTCTTTCAACAGCGACAGACTTCACACTCCATTGCTGAAGCATCTGATCTTGTTAAACTACTGATAAGATAAAGATACCTTCCATTTTTATCTTCCCCCGAAAGGGAAATATTAAGAGCCAGTTAGATATTACACACTAAACATAAAAGACAAAGGTCATAATAATAATCCATGCATTTGATACAGCGCTTTAATAATAATAATAATAATAATCCTTGCATTTGATATAGCGCTTTTCACGTCAGGAGGACGTCCCAAAGCGCTTCACAGAACACACTGTAAAGTGAATTGACTGTATATTTGTGGGCGAACGCGGCAGCCAATTGCGCACAGCAATGTCCCACAAACAGTCGTAGATTGAAAATGACCAATTTATTATTGATTTTGGTTTTGGAGGGATTATTATTAGGCGTGTGGAGTAAGGAAACTTGCCCAAGGTTTCGCCCTGCCTGGAATTGAACTCAGGTCTCTCGCTTGCAAAGCGAGTGCTCTAACCACTGAGCTACAGGTCTTCTAGATGTCTCAAAGCGCTTCACAGAATATACTGTAAAGTAAATTGACTGTATATTTATGGGCGAAACGTGGCAGCCAATTGCGCATAGTGTCCCACAAACAGTTGTGGATTGAATGACCAAATTATTATTGGGTTTTTTTCTAGAGCGATTATTATCAGGCGTGTGGAGTAAGGCCAAGGTTTCGCCCTTCTGGGAATCGAACCCAGGTCTCTCACTTGCGAGGCGAGTGCTCTAACTGCTGAGCTACAGGACTCCTCACCTAACAACCGGGTAAGTAGCAACCTGGCTGTTAGTCGATTGGCGGATCGTTTTACCGGGTATAGTAACCCCTTAAAAAAAAATTGGCGATTATCTGTGGACTCTGTTAATTAAAAACACCAGTAGAAATGGAAAACTACTGACTGAGTTAGTCTTCATAATTACAATTCATCTCGGAATTGGACTGGAACTTCTCTGTGAGAAGGTACTCAATTCTGCAGCATTAATACTGTCAGCGCTGGTACCCGAGCAGAGCAAGACAGCCGGGTAAAACTCATCCACGCCGAGGGGACAGAGTTTGCGACACCTTAGAATGATTACAACATGAAAATATATTTTTGAAAAGACTGCTTCTCTTTCTAGTCCTTGACACTAAATCAACAGTCCTGTAGCTCAGTGGTTAGAGCACTCGCCTTGCAAGCGAGACATCTGGGTTCAATTCCAGGCAGGGCAAAACCTTGGGCAAGTTTCCTTGCTTCACACGCCTAATAATAATCCCTCCAAAACAAAAGAATAATAAAATTGGTCATTTTCAATCCACGACTGTTTGTGGGACACTGCTGTGCGCAATTGGCTGCCGCGTTTCGCCCACAACTATACAGTCAATTCACTTTACAGTCTATTCTGTGAAGCGCTTTGAGACGTCGAGAAGACGTGAAAAGCGCTATATCAAATGCAAGGATTATTATTATTAACACTTAATAATAATCCTTACATTTGATATAGCGCCTTATCACGTTGTTGAGCAGTCTCAAAGCTCTTCACAGTAAAGTGAATTGACTGTACAATTTGTGGGCAAAACGCTGCCCACAAACAGTCATGGATTGAGTGACCAAATTATTAATTGTTTTTAATGGATTATTACCGCCAGGAAGCGATCCGCCAATCAATTAACAAACCAGTTCCTCCTTACTGCTAGGTAAATAGAGGTGCATGGAGGAGAGAAACTTGCTTAAAGCTCCGTAGCAGCACTTACACCAATGAACTCTTTGAGCATGATACAGGGTTGACCAATCTATCAGGGCTTACCCATTAATAATAATAATAATGGCTACTCAGGTGAGGCAGTGAAGGGGCACCCAAACCTCAATTGAAGGGGGAAAAATTAGTTGGGTGCCTTCACAAGGAGGAGAGAAACCTAGAAGAGAATACAGTAATTGGGGGGGGAATAAAAGATTAATTCTTCAACGTGTCAGAAATAAACCTGCCTATATGTGGAAACGTATTGGACACCAACAATAAATTCATAAAACCAATGATATTGCAGACATGAGGTAAATAGGAATAACAATGTATTGTCATATATCTTTAGCTATGTGCATGGTACTAACATTAAATGACCCTAGCACA